TTGGAAAAGCGTTCCAGGTGAAGCTAGTTGAGAGGATGCCAAGTGTGCAAAGCTGTCATCAAGGCAAAGGGTGGCTACTTTGAAGAATCTAAAATCTAAAATGTAATTTGATTTGTTTAACACTTTTTGGGTTACTACATGATTCCATGTGTTATTTCATAGTTTTGATGTCTTCACTATTATTCTACAATGTAGAAAATAGTAAAAATAAAGAAAAATCCTTGAATGAGTAGGTCTGTCCAAACTTTGACTGGTACTGTGTATATATATACAGTGCCTTCGGAAAGTATTCAGACCCCTTGACTTTTTCCACATTTTGTTACGTTACAGCCTTATTCTAAAATTGATTAATCCATTTTAGAATAAGGCTGTAATGTAACAAAATGTGGAAAAAGTCAAGGGGCCTGAATACTTTCCGAAGTCACTGTATATATACATACTGAACAAAAATATAAATGCAACATGCAACAATTTCAAAGATTTTACTGAGTTACAGTTCATATAAGGAAATCAGTCAATTAGGCCCTAATCTATGGATTTCACATGACTGGGAATACAGATATGCATATGTTGGTCACAGATACCTTAAAAAAACGGTAGGGGGGTGGATCAGAAAACCAGTCAGTATCTGATGTGACCACCATTTGCCTCATGCAGCGTGAAACATTACCTTTGCATAGAGTTGATCAGGCTGTTGATTGTGGCCTGTGCGAAGTTCCTGGATATTGGTGGGAACTGGAACACGCTGTTGTACACGTCGATCCAGAGCATCCCAAATATGCTCAATGCGTGACATGTCTGGTGAGTATGCAGGCAATGTAAGCACTGGGACGTTTTAAGCTTCCAGGAATTGTGTAGAGATCCTTGCGACATGGGGCTGTGCATTATCATGCTAAAACATGAGGTGATGGCGGCGGATGAATGGCACGACAATGGGCCTCAGGATCTCGTCACAGTATCTCTGTGCATCCAAATTGCCATCAATAAAATGCAATTGTGTTCATTGTCCATAGCTTATGCCTGCCCATTCCATAACCCCTCCGCCACCATGGGGCGCTCTGTTCACAACGCTGACATCAGTGAACCGCTCACATGACGCAACGTGGTCTGCGGTTGTGAGGTCGGTTGTTCGTACTGCCAAATTCACTAAAATGACGTTGGAGGCTGCTTATGGTAGAGAAATTAACATTTAATTATCTGGCAACAACTCTGGTGGACATTCCTGCAGCCATTCCTGGTGGCATTGTATTGTGTGTATTGCACATTTTAGAGTGTCCTTTTTTTGTCCCCAGCACAAGGTGCACCTGTGAAATGATCATGCTGATTAATCAGCTTCTTGATATGCCACACCTGTCAGGTGGATGGATTATTTTGGCAAAGGAGAAAGGCTCACAAAAAGGGATGTAAACAAATTTGTGCACAACATTTTAGAAAAATAAGCTTTTTGTGCGCGTAGACAATTTCTGGGATCTTTTATTTCAGCTCATGAAACATGGAACCAACACTTTACATGTTGCGTTTATATTTTTGTTCGGTGTAGTAGCAGGTTCGTTTTGCCTCTTGACTTTCTCCTAACCCAGGACCAAGTTTGGGAAACCCTGCTTTAGAGCATAAATACCATCTGGGATATAAACATGTATGTCTCCCCGGGATAAGATAATGAAGTATTAACTATGCGATCGAACACACCCCATTTGACCGTGAATTCTCGGACCAGGAAATGGATAGAACCCTCTTCAATCACAGAAGAAAACAAAGATTCTAAAGATTCACCTTAACGTTTCAATTGCTGAACATGATCACCTTATAGAGGTAACTTCTGATCGTTACATACAGTGAGGGAAAAAAGTATTTAATCCCCTGCTGATTTTGTACGTTTGCCCACTGACAAAGAAGTTATCAGTCTATAATTTTAATGGTAGGTTTATTTGAACAGTGAGAGACAGAATAACAACAAAAAAATCCAGAACAACGCATGTCAAAAATGTTATGAATTTATTTGCATTTTAATGAGGGAAATAAGTATTTGACTCCTCTGCAAAACATGACTAAGTACTTGGTGGCAAAACCCTTGTTGGCAATCACAGAGGTCAGACGTTTCTTGTAGTTGGCCACCAGGTTTGCACACATCTCAGGAGGGATTTTGTCCCACTCCTCTTTGCAGATCTTCTCCAAGTCATTAAGGTTTCGAGGCTGATGTTTGGCAACTCAAACCTTCAGCTCCCTCCACAGATTTTCTATGGGATTAAGGTCTGGAGACTGGCTAGGCCACTCCAGGACCTTAATGTGCTTCTTCTTGAGGCACTCCTTTATTTCCTTGGCCGTGTGTTTTGGGTCATTGTCATGCTGGAATACCCATCCATGACCCATTTTGAATGCCCTGGCTGAGGGAAGGAGGTTCTCACCCAAGATTTGACGGTACATGGCCCCGTCCATCGTCCCTTTGATGCGGTGAAGTTGTCCTGTCCCCTTAGCAGAAAAACACCCCCAAAGCATAATGTTTCCACCTCCATGTTTGACGGTGGGGATGGTGTTCTTGGGGTCATAGGCAGAATTCCTCCTCCTCCAAACACAGCGAGTTGAGTTGATGCCAAAGAGCTCCATTTTGGTCTCATCTGACCACAACACTTTCACCCAGTTCTCCTCTGAATCATTCAGATGTTAATTGGCAAACTTCAGACGGGCATGTATATGTGCTTTCTTGAGCAGGGGGATCTCATGATCATTGCAACTCCACGAGGTGAGATCTTGCATGGAGCCCCAGGCCGAGGGAGATTGACAGTTATTTTGTGTTTCTTCCATTTGCGAATAATCGCACCAACTGTTGTCACCTTCTCACCAAGCTGCTTGGCGATGGTCTTTTAGCCCATTCCAGCCTTGTGTAGGTATACAATCTTGTCCCTGACATCCTTGGAGATCTCTTTGGTCTTGGCCATGGTGGAGAGTTTGACATCTGATTGATTGATTGATTGCTTCTGTGGACAGGTGTCTTTTATACAGGTAACAAACTGAGATTAGGAGCACTCCCTTTAAGAGTGTGCTCATATTCTCAGCTCGTTACCTGTATAAAAGACACCTGGGAGCCAGAAATCTTTCTGATTGAGAGGGGGTCAAATACTTATTTCCCTCATTAAAATGCAAATCAATTTAACATTTTTGACATGCATTTTTCTGGATTTTTTTCTCTCACTGTTCAAATAAACCTACCATTAAAATTATAGACTGATCATTTCTTTGTCAGTGGGCAAACGTACAAAATCAGCAGGGGATCAAATACTTTTTTCCCTCACTGTAGCCTACGTGATAAGAAAGTAACATTTTACCGGGAGATGCACAACAATCGGTTTCGGCGCCAAACCAATTGCCGGCGTGACAAGCTCAAACTCGAAAACATGTTTCTTCTTTTACAGGTGATCAGCAACAATCAGTAGGACATCTCTAACCTACTTTATTCTAAATAAATACATGTGCTTCTCAACTGTAAATCATCATCAGTGTCTGGTTATTCACATAAGCATGTCTTTAGATTAAGTGACGGACATAGGACAATCGTCACACTGAGTAAGGGAAATGCCGCGTTCAAAACAACTGGGAACTCAGAGTTTGGGAATCTCCGACTTCCCACTTCAGTGCGTTCAAGACAACAGGGACCCCGGGAAAAAAAATGAGCTCCGACTGAGATTTTTTATTTTTCTTTGTCATCCAACTCGGAATTCCAAGTCGGAAACGCTGGCATTTTTCTAGAGCTCTGACTTTCCGACCTGAAGATCACTGACCTCATGATTTGACCTCGTTGTTTTTCCGAGTTCTCATTTGTCTTGAAAGCACCATATGATGACTTGATGTATTTTGAAAGATGAGACATTGAGGATTATCCTAAATACCGCTTTGATGTCATACAAGCAAGTCAAACACCCATCTACTTCACATCTCCAAATCATAAAACTCATGTCATATACAGTGTCAATGTCAATGTTTATGATCTCTGTTTGTTACAAGATGACATGTCTTCATACCCTAGTTTGTTGTGAACAGAATGAGCCTATGGAGGACATTTGCTGCAGCACACTCACCTGAATGCACTCATGACTCCATTCTATGGACACCAAAATTACGATCTGTTTCTCTGAATTACCTTGTGAAAGGCTAACACTGTAAGATCCTGTGTTGACAATAGATCAAGCTTTCAAATCATGCCCACCTGACCCAGATTGCGATTTATAATGTACAGTTTTTGTATTTCGTAAAAAACAACAGTAATTGTGTGCATGGCGTGGATGCAGGGTTGTGTTCCAAACGAAACAACTACAAGTGTGCCTGCTCTAGTTCCTTAATGACACGGCTAGGAGAGCTCAAAAAAGTACCTTATAGTTGAAGACTTCTTTGAGTCATAAAAGTGCATTGAAATTGCTTAGAAACTGTGCACACTTTGAAGAGGTGTATGGCCACTTGGAGACACCGGTTAGTCGTCTCACTCAAACCCTTGTAATTTTTTTGTCTTATGTTGCACCTACCCCACATTTTTCATGTTACTGAATGTATCCAGAGTATTTTCAGATTTCGTTATCAACAAATGCGGTGAAAAGTACAGTAAATGTAAAATGCACAGAAAAATGAACAGTGTAATGTTTGGATTCAGACTTGTGTCAGGTAAACTGTTGTGTACTTACCTTTGGTCAAAATGTTTTCCCCATTATCTCCAAACTGTTCCATTTCAATTGCTACCATGGTTATGCATTTTCATATATCTTTTGTAAGAAACATTTCAATTTAGCCCTATCCATATAGGCCAATTCCCACGAGTGCAATGGGTTAACGGCCACCGTAGCAAAACTGCCGTTTCTTATTGAACTAGCTCAGGTGGTACCTCCTCGTTCTAGACCCCAGATGTGTGGCTCAATGGCACAGTACTGAGTCACTCCTCGTCCTCACCTGGCCACACACAGTGAATCAGGATCAGACTGTTTCTGTTGACCCTCGTGACTGACTCTCTCTTGCAGGACTTCTCGAATGACGACACCAAGCTGGAGTACAATGTGGACGCAGACAATGGCATCGCGATGGAGGGCTACCTGTTTAAGAGGGCCAGCAATGCCTTCAAGACATGGAACAGGTCAGCTGCAAGAAATGATGCTCTTTCTTATTTCCTTTCTCTGACATTCCCTCTTTTTTCTCTCCTTCTCCCCCCTCTATCTCTCCCTTCACCTTCCCTCCCCCCCGTCTCTCTTTCTCTTAATTTCTGGTCAAGCTGATATCTGTCCCCGAGCACAGCTTCACCAGTGCACTAGACACCACAATACATGTCCAGTATGTATAACATGCATGGGAGCAGTAATCTTTATGTCCTCTAACCTTACGGTGATTAGTTATTGACTGGGTGGGGAGGTGATAAGTCTCTGTTTAGTATGAATCCGCCCAGGCCCTAGTCAGCCAGGTGGGAAGGATGGAGGGATTCAAGGTGCTGAGGCTGCGTCTCCATGGCAACCGATAGTGACATCGATAGTGACATGTGGCGTAGTAAGCTGACACCTGGGGGAGCGCTGCCTGAATGGCGCAGGGCTCTGTGAGCTGCATGTAGTTAGCAAGGAGAGCTCCAGCTCTTCATTGTCCTATAGCCTCCAAAGACATTCCCTGTACTGGAAGATGGAGGTCTCTGGAACCATGCCTTTTGAGAATTACTTGTATTACCTAATCAACTATTTGTCTCCGAAAAACAATTGGGTTTCAAAAGTTACAAAGTTAAATGTTACCACACAGAAAAGCTTTTCCCCCGACATTATTTGTCAAACAGCATAGTTTTCTACCTTACGCTCGCAGAATAGGAATCCAGGACTTAATAACCATTTTATCAGGTCAAGGGACATTAATCTATATATTTATCTTTCATTAAATCTCTAACCATTTCAATTTACTTTTTTAACTCTAACTTCTTTCTCTGGCTACTGAGAATAGTTGGAATGCTAGCATGGATTTCAGAGACATCCTTTTGCCTCTGAGATAAATGCGCTAAATTGTGTCACCGTTGACCCGTGACCATGACTGCTGGTGTGATCTCCTTTCAGGCGCTGGTTCTCCATTCAAAACAATCAGTTAGTTTACCAGAAGAAATTCAAGGTAAGCCTGATGACTCCGGCAAATTTCCCAAATGGCACCCTATTCCCTATGGGCCCTGGTGAAAAGTAGTGCACTTAATAGGGAATAGAGGGCCATTTAGGATGCAGCCTCCAACTGCACAGCCCACCATCAAATATACATGTTTCACTTCCAGCCCAATATTTCCCCTAAATGTTTTATGCAATGAAGTAGCGTTGAATATGGAGCACAGTTAATAGATGATGAGTTTGTGGAATGTGGAGGAAAACAATTCACTCTGCTGCAGGTTACAATGTGAAATCATAGTCTATGCAGTGTTGTATACTTCTGAAGCATTCGCATTGTGTCAGAGCGCCGTGTGTGTGTGCAATTTTATCTGAGTGTGTATTGTGCATTGTAGTGTGTGGGCTTTACTAAGGCTGTGTGTGTTCTCCTTTCCCAGGATAATCCCACAGTGGTGGTGGAGGACTTGCGACTATGCACAGTCAAACACTGTGAGGATATCGAACGCCGCTTCTGCTTCGAAGTGGTGTCCCCCACCAAGTGAGTACACACACACACACAATATAATGCGCATATACAGTGCATTCGGAAAGTATTCCGACCTCTTCCCTTTTTCCACATTTTGTAACGTTACAGCCTTATTCTAAAATTGATCAAATTAATTTTATTCCTCATCAATCGACACACAATAACCCATAATGACAAAGCGAAAACAGGTTTTTAGAAATGTTTGCAAATGTATTAAAAATAAAAATAAACATACCTTATTTACATAAGTATTCAGACCCTTTGCTATGAGACTCGGAAAAGGGTTGCTATTTGAAGAATCTCAAATATAAAATATATTTTGATTTGTTTAACACTTCTTTGCTTACTACATGATTCCATATGTGTTATTTCATAGTTTTGATGTCTTCACTATTATTCTACAATGTAGAAAATAGTGAAAATAAAGAAAAACCCTTGAATGAGTAGATGTTCTAAAACTTTTGACCGGTAGTTTAAGTATTCAGACCTTTTGCTATGAGACTCAAAATTGAGCTCAGGTGCATCCTGTTTCCATTGATCATCCTTGAGATGTTTCTACAACTTGATTGGAATCCACCTGTGGTAAATTCAATTAATTGGACATGATTTCGAAAGGCACACACCTGTCTATATAAGGTCCCACAGTTGTCAGTGCATGTCAGAGCAAAAACCAAGCCATGAGGTCGAAGGAATTGTCTGTAGAGCTCCGAGACAGGATTGTGTCGAAGCACAGATCTGGGGAAGGGTACCAAAAAATTTCTGCAGCATTGAAGGTCCTCAAGAACACAGTGGCCTCCATCATTCTTAAAAGGAAAACGTTTGAACCACCAGCACTCTTCCTAGAGCTGTCCGCCGGGGGAGAAGGGCCTTGGTCAGGGAGGTGACCAAGAACCTGGTCACTCTGAGTTACTCTGTGGAGATGGGAGAACCTTCCAGAAGGAATACCATCTCTGCAGCACTCCACCAATCAGGCCTTTATGGTAGTGGCCAGACGGAAGCCACTCCTCATTAAAAGGCACATGACAGCCCGCTTGGAGTTTGCCAAAATGAACCTAAAGGACTCTCAGACCATGAGAAACAAGATTCTCTGTTCTGATGAAACCAAGATTGAACTCTTTGGCCTGAATGCCAAGCGTCACGTCTGGAGGGAACCTGGCACCATCCCTACGGTGAAGCATGGTGGTGGCAGCATCATGCTGTAGGGATGTTTTTCAGCGGCAGGGACTGTGAGACTAGTCAGGATCGAGGGAAAGATGAACAGCGCAAAGTACAGAGACATCCTTGATGAAAACCTGTTCCAGAGCGCTCAGGACCTCAGACTGGGATGAAGGTTCACCTTCCAACAAGACAACGACCCTAAGCACACAGCCAAGACAACGCAGGAGTGGCTTCGGGACAAGTCTCTGAATGTCCTTGAGCGGGCCAGCCTGAGCTTGAACCCGATTTCAACATCTCTGGAGAGACCTGAAAATAGGTGTGCAGCGACGCTCCCCATCCAACCTGACAGAGCTTGAGAGGATCTGCAGAGAAGAATGGGAGAAACTTCCCAAATACAGGTGTGCCAAGCTTGTAGCGTCATACCCAAGAAGACTCGGCTGTAATCGCTGCCGAAGGTGCTTCAACAAAGTACTGAGTAAAGGGTCTGAATACTTATGTAAATGTATATTTTCCTTCTTTTTTTTTTTTTTTACATTTCTAACAACCTGCTTTTGCTTTGTCATTATGGGGTATTGTGTGTAGATTGAGGGAAAACAACAATTGAATCAATTTTAGAATAAGGCTGTAACGTATCAAAATGTGGAAAAAGTCAAGGGGTCTGAATACTTTCCAAATGCACTGTGCCTTCAGGAAGTATTCACACCCCTTGACTCTTTCCACATTTTGTTGTGTTACAGCCTGAATTTAAAATGTCTTGAATTTAGATTTTTTTTGTTACTGTCCTATACACAATACCCCATAATGTCAAAGTGGAATTATGTTTTTCGACATTTTTACAAATGAATAAAAAATGAAAAACTGAAATGTCTTGAGTCAATTACTATTCAACCCTTATGTTATGGTAAGCCTAAATAAGTTGAGGAGTGAAAATTTGCTTAACCAGCCGCATAATAAGTTGCATGGACTCACTCTGTGTGCAATAATAGTGTTTAACATGATTTTGAATGACTACCTCATCTCTGTACCCCACACATACAATGATCTTTAAGGTCCTTCAGTCGAGCAGTGAATTTCAAACACAGATTCAACCAAAAAGACCAGGGAGGTTTTCCAATGCCTCACAAAGAAGGGCACCTATTGGTAGATGGGTAAAAAAAAAAAAAAGCAGACATTGAATATCCCTTTGAGCATGGTGTAGTTGAGGATGGGTCAACAACATTGTAGTTACCCCACAATACTAACATAATTGACAGAAGGAAGGAAGGAAGCCTGTACAGAATATAAATATTCCAAAACATGTATCCTGTTTGAAATAAGGCAAATCCAACACAACACATCACTGAGTACCACTCTTCATATTTTTAAGCATGGTGGTGGCTGCATCATGTTATGGGTATGCTTGTCATCGGCAAGGACTAGGGAGTTTGTTATTATAAAAATAAATGGAATAGAGCTAAGCACAAGTACAATTCTAGATGAAAACCTGGTTCAGTCTGCTTTCCAACAGACATTGGCACCTTTCAGCAGGACAATAACCTAAAACACAAGGCCAAATATACACTGGAGTTGCTTACCAAGATGACATTGAATGTTCCTGAGTGGCCTAGTTACAGTTTTGACTTAAATTGGTTTGAAAATGGCTGTCTAGCACTGATCAAACACCAACTTGACAGGGCTTGAATCATTAAAAAAAAGAATAATGTGCAAATATTGTACAATACAAGTGTACAAAGTTCTTAGAGACTTACCCTGATAGACTCACAGCTGTAATCGCTGCCAAAGGTTATTCTAACATCTATTGACTCAGGGGGTTGAATACTTATCTAATCAAGATATATTAGTGTGTTCTTTTTTTTATACAAATGTTTTTTGTTTTTTATCCACTTTGACAGAGTATTTTGTGAAGATCATTGACAAAAAAAATCACACTTTGTAACACAACAAAATTTGGAAAAGTCTAGGGGTGTATACACTTCCAGATACAAGTGCATACAGACACCCAAATATGACTTGCACTCAGAAATGCACACACACACACAGAGAGAGAGACACAGATGCCAGCTAGTGAAGAGCTCCAGTAGCAGGCCAGGGAGCAGGCTGATGTTTCTTGGTGTCCCTCCCCTTTCAGGAGCTGTATGATGCAGGCAGACTCTGAGAAGCTGAGGCAGGCCTGGATCAAAGCCGTCCAGAACAGCATCGCCACCGCCTTCAGGGAGCAGGGAGAGGACGCGGAGGTGAGTCACCGCACACTGGCTTAACTTATGCACTCAATACATTTTTTTATGTTTAGTCTGTCATTTATTGCTATTTGTTTCCATTATCTCCATGTCAGGACAAAAATTATCAGACATACCTCATAGACAACAGAGGTGAACAAAAAGCAAGGATATCCCTCTAGTGTGCTGCAACCCCTCCGTGTGTGTCTGTGTGTATCTGCCTTGTGTGACAAATCAATGTGGTCTGTGACAATAGGCAATAAAGTAATCCTCTTCTAGAGTGTGTGTGTGTGTAGGTATGCGGGAGTGTGTGCATCTTGTGTAAAACATCATGTATTCGACCCTCCACACCAGAAGCTGGACCGGAAGTCTTCCACGTCGACTGGCAGCCTGGACTCGGGCGGCGAGCCCAAAGAAAAGTCACTAAAGGGGGAGAATGCCCTCCAGAGGGTCATGGTCATTGGGGGCAATGCCTGCTGCTGCGACTGTGGCCAGCCTGACCCCCGCTGGGCCAGCATCAATCTGGGCATCACCCTCTGCATCCAGTGCTCTGGAATACACAGGTACATTCCTATCACTGCAAATACTACACACCAAGGCACTACTGTATACCAAACTTCATATGTATTCACCAACGTACGATACCGAAGTACCACCAAGATGACACTGAGATGAATCCAAAATATTATCTTACCATGGTATTATAAAGGTACTATACAACAAGTTACTGGACAGTTGACTGGTGCTATACAACAGTACAAAGGTTGAATGTTTTTTTACTAGATGGGAATAATAATACAAAAAATCTAAGGGTCAGCAAATTTGACCCCAAGCAAGCGCATTTTGGACTGTAGACTCTCCCTTACTGACTGTGTACTCCCACCTTGTGGCCACAGCACACACTACACCCTTGATTGACCAGCATGTAACGCAAACTAATCAGCCTTTGAAGCTGTGGAGTCATTTAGTTATTTTTAGACAATGTCCTTGATTTATGAGTTGCTAACAGACTCTCACCATCTGCAGGAGTCTTGGGGTCCATTTCTCTAAGGTGCGCTCACTCACCCTGGACTCATGGGAACCGGAACTACTCAAGGTGAGAAAAGAGGGAGTGGGAGGAGGGTTTGCCTAACAGATGGGCCTAAAGGCGTCCACATGCTTCCCAGACGAAACAGTTCGGAACAGTTCGTGCATATATTATGACAACATTTTGTGAAATTTTTTGTTTGTTTTGGACTTCGGTAAGTCTACACCCCTTCGCCGGTGATTGGTCAACAGTAGGGATTCTTCAATAAAGTCTTTGTTGTCATTCAATTGAAAAACACTGCCCAAACTGATTTTTATATGTCATGACTTTACATGCCTGACTTTATATGTCACTTTACATGAAATGTGGCATGCTGTCCTCTGAATGTGCTGGTTAATTTTGACACATAGTAACTGTATTATTTGTTTGTGTGTGTGTGGTACACAGCTGATGTGTGAGCTGGGGAACGGGGTCATCAACCAGATCTACGAGGCTCGTAGAGAGGAACTGGGAGCCAGGAAGCCAAGGCCAGCAGACCCCAGGTATGGTACTGCCAACTTCTCTGTCTACCATCATGGAGACAAGGGGGGCGATGGTTAACATTATCCATTGGTTCTGCCATTGATTTGATTGATTGATGATGACGTTTATTATCCTTCAAGGGAAAATTCATGGCACTTGCAACATTAGAGTTGTGGATTATTCCTCCGTGAACCTCATTAAATAAACTCTGTACAGCTAGTCGATTTGGATAAAAGCATCTGAAAAATAACTATTTATATTAAATAAATAAATAAAGTGTAGTCCCACATAAGTAGCAAGTGTGATACTACAGCAAGACTGCAATCTTTCCTTGGGTTGCCAGATGGGTTTAATTTGTTGAATTCACTCTCCCTCTGCGTCCCATGTCTTTCCCCAGGCAGGATATCGAGGCCTACATCAGGGCCAAGTACGTGGACCGGCATTTCGTGCGGCGCCTGTCCGACGAGGAGCTGCGCTCCAAGGTGGTGTCCCTGTCGAAGCAGGAGAAGAGGCTGAGCAGCAGTTCAGAGCACCTGCCCCCCCGGCCGCCCCCGCCCACGCCCAAACTACGGCCTGCCTCCAACGCCTCAGGTCAGTCAGGTAGGTGTCAACACATCCCGGATCCAGTCTCTTAAAGGTGCAGCACAAAAACGGCAATCATAGCGCCTGTTCCTCTTCCTCTTTGATTTTACACTTGCAAAGACCCCATCCCCCTCAGTCCTCCAAAACAAAAACAAACAAGCGGTAGGGTCTGTTACTGTTATTACTGTTGACCAAAAATACAGTACCAACTATGGAGTGTGCCTTTAAAGGTACAGCAACAGAATTGCCCTACACTAGTATAATAGAACAACACCATGTCATGCTCAGGACACACAACAGAAGGCACCCTCTCTCCCATCTCCTCTCTTTTTCTCTCTTTTTGAGGTAGCCTAGCCTGTAGTCTAACTGCCTGTGCTTCTATCCTCTCCTTTCAATCCCTCTCTTCTCCACCCTCCTCCGGCTTCTCTGTGCTTCTGGACTAACCCCTTTCCCCTCGCTGCCTTTTATTCCTTCCTTCCTACCCTTCCACCTCGTGCCCTTTGCTCTCTGACCCCATCCATTGCCCTTGCCTAGCTGCCACCAAGGGCTTGGAGGCCCGCCGTGACTCTCTCTTCTGTCCCGACGAGCTTGACTCGCTCTTCTCCTACTTTGACACCTCCGCCAAGCTCAGGAGCAGTAAGTACGGCCCTGTGTTTTGCTCTCCACCTCCTTCTCTTCCTCCACCCATCTGTATTCACCGCTCAGGCTGTCGACTAATGCCCATTCCATCCCCCATCTCACTCTCTAAATGGATAGTGCCGTCATCTTGAATGTATTGGTGTGGAGCATACCATGTGTTCCTCTCGGGGTTGTCTCATCACGTGGTTGTGGTCAGTGTCTTGTCTATAGGTTTCATCTGTCTTATTGTGGCTGTGGGGTCAGCCGGGAAATGGCCTCACTGGGTGTGGCGGCCAAAGTGCACTGCATTCTCTAACCACTTGGTTGAAGTTGGTGAATGTGTGTGCGCTGTTGTATAGTGACTGTGAGTGATTGTGACTGTTTGGTCCCCCGCAGTAAGAAGTGCAGACAGTGGCATCCAGAACAGTGCTGATGGGAGTAGGGAGATGCTGGCCACCATCCCCTCCACGAACAGCCTGGCTGAAGCAGGTGAGACACATACACACCAGCCTGATGAGTCTCACTCATACCCAGCCTATAGTGAAATATAGCTAGCTGTTCAATAACCCCATACATGTGCACACATTGAAACTAGAACTCCGTAACTCATTTAAATTCCTATATTTAAATATCCACCTGATTACCATGACAAACAACAATTTACACCTTGATACTCCTGATAACCTCTTTACTCCCACTCTCTTTTTCTACCCCACCCCCAGAAGCTGCCGAGGCGCCTCCCATGACTATGCCTGCCATCCTGTCCCCTCCGTCGCCCTGTAAGGAGGTGGTGGTGTTCTCGGAGCCCAAGGAGTACTCCCCGGGACTGCAGCTCTACTGGGCCTCGTGTGCCCGCAGCCTGCCTGACATGGCCGAGGCCCTGGCCCACGGAGCGGAGGTCAACTGGGTCAACACCGACAACGATAAGAGGACCCCGCTCATCATGGCCGTGCAGGGGGTGAGATGGATGGATAGGGTACTTGAGTATTGTGGAGAGGCGTGCGGAGTGTGTGTGTTCTTCAAGTGGACCTGGTCTTCTCTCTCTCTCTGTGTGTGTGTGTGTGTGTGTGTGTGTGTGTGTGTGTGTGTGTGTGTTAAATGGACTGGTCCTTTTCTAAACATCTGTCACCTGTACGTGTGTGTATAATTTGCATGTCATACCTATATTTCCAGGGCTCTTTGGTGACGTGTGAGTTCCTGCTCCAAAATGCGGCCAACGTGAACCAGCAGGACGCCCAGGGCCGAGGACCCCTTCACCACGCCACCATCCTGGGTCACACCGGGTCAGTCTCCCCCCTCTCACTACTTACCAGTAGCACAACCTCCACTCTTTTACTAGGCCCGTTAAAGACTCCATACAATGACTGTTCTTATAGAGTAGACATTAGAGGCCTGTACTAAAACAGCTCTAGCATTAAAGGTCTGTTATTCCTAGACTATTTCACTTGGCTTAATATTATAACAGACTGCTTCTTTGACTCTTTATCTCCTCATCTGACTTTTTTTTTAATGTGTTTTGGTTGAGATTAAAGCCATTATGGCAAGCCTCCGCTAAGGCAGTTTGTAAATTATTTGACCGTAATAGACCAGGGTAGTATTTGAGGTTATTTGTGTTTGAGGTTAATTGTGGTGACCCAAGTTGACAGTCTATGATCTTAGTTCATGTTGGGGTATTAAAATAGATTGGTTCCTTTTGAATTTTTTTCTCCAATACAGTCAAGTGTGTTTATTCCTGAAAAAAGGAGCCAATCAGAAAGCGGCAGACATTGAAGAGAAAACGCCCCTATCCATGGCAGTGGACGCTGCCAATGCAGACATTGTCACATTGTGAGTGTTGTGCCTGTTGGCCTTTTTCAATAGAATATATACAGTAGATACTAGGTACGTAAAGTGCATTTATTTTTAGATGGTAAAATAGATACCTGTAACCTTTAAATAAAAGCTAACATTCTGTTTTTGCCTCATAAAAATGGCAAAACATCGGTTGGATAAAGTGACTGTTCTTTCTCCATATCAATCAAATAACCTTTGTTAAAATCTCCCTCCCCCCTCCCTTTTTCCCAGGCTACGATTGGCCAAAATGAACGAGGAGATGCGGGAGGCGGAGGGGCCCTACATGCAGTCAGGTCAATATTCCACCAACAGCCCCACCGAGATGCAATACAGGAAGTGCATGCAGGAGTTTATTAGCCTGCAGCTGGATGAGCCCTAGAGACAGTAGAGCCCCAATACACAGACAGGACTAGCATCATATCTTTAATAAGCAGACATATGATGGCCTGTGTTGTTGTTCAATACTTCTATGAAGACTCAGGTCAGCTAGGTGGTGAGCTAAGCTGCATCTTGTGTCTGGAGAAAGGTGCTAGACATTTATTTACGTGACCGGGGTCAAAGCCATCAGCCGTAGAGCCAGTGTTTTGACTACTGAACAGCTGTGACTCGCTGCTCCTTTGAAGTCGTGGCTGTTGTTGTCTGTTGCGTTCCAACTTTCAAACAGCCATGTCTTTATTAGTTGCGATGTCTATTCGAAGAGAACTTGCAACAGAGGTCGTCATGACTATGTTACGTCAGTCTTGACTATCAGGCAATAATCCTGACTTTTGAATGACAGTTTTGACCATCAGACTGTTGAGTAGCTAGCAGTGTCTTGCCATGCACCAGGTGTGATTTATTAGTGATTTACCTTAGGGAATATTTGTATGGATATTCCTAATATGCTTATGCAATATTTCAGTGTGTTACATGCTTGTATGGTTCCCACAGTGAGTCTTAAACTCCTCTGTGTAAAAGACCTTGTCTTGTTTACTTGTTTGAACTTTTTATCGTTACAATGAAGTATCAATCTTGGCACATTTTACGTATGCATTTTACCTTTGTGAAATTGACTTCGGAAAGAATATTTTAAAACGGTTGCTTTTTTAAGAAAACAATTGGAACTATAGAAGCATAATAGTTGTTGTAAATTATGTATTGTACATAAATATAAATTTCTATATCATAACAGTATTAAGCAGAATAGGAAGTAAAGTTGAGAGATTCTCTGAAGCGGTAATGTTAAACAACACTATGGGTGAGTGCTGTGGCTTCTGTGCTTGCATCCTTGTATTTTATTTTTTGTATTGTGTGGTATTTTATACATCTGTTTAAAGTATTAAGCTTGATTGATTGTTAGTCTACCTGGTTACAGTATGCTGCCTGTCAAAATGGAACATTTTCCCCCCACTGGGAATCCTGTTCTTTGTCTGACTTTTGACAACATTAATTGACTGTCCTTAATGTTAGCTGACACTATTTAGTCTCATGCACCATGTAGTCCTGCTCTGTGACCAGCCAGTGTGTAGTGATGCACTGAGGAGATTGAGTATCAGTTTAAAAATAGCGATTTTAATGATTGTGATGAATAGCGCTGTTCCTGAAAAGTCTAAAGGCCTTTGTATGTCGGATTCAGTCTTTTACGATTATCACGTCACACTGCAATGTTACCAAATTAAAATCTGATCTACGATTGGCTTGCGAGGCTACGTCAGCAGACATAGGCTATGTCAACTGCAGCGGTGTATTTGATCTGCGCATGTAGCAGCACACACTATGCTTATCTGCTAGTGAAGTGAGTTCAGAAAAAACTGGAAGTATGCTAACTTTATATGTCCAAACTCAGAATCAAATAGGCTTCACCGAAATAATATGGACGCTGTGGTAGAACGTTTATTTTGATTGCCGATTTTGTGCATTTATCAAAATCCCATCAGATGTCATGTAAACAAGATTATTAGGGAAGTCGTTCCTCTTGCACAGCATGTAAATGTTTAAATCGAACTATTATATTAATCTGACTATTGACAATAATATGAATCATTACTGTGTGTCACAACCGGGATCGGCTCGTAACACCAGCCACACTACAAGATAAAGGCAAAAAAAATTGGTTGGAGCCTACGAACGCGCGTAATGGTACTTAATTGGCAGACCTAGACCCTGTCACACTGTACGAGCCAAGATGTCCGACAATCGTTTATGACCTAAGAATTTGCCCACGACTTGGAAACTTTGTCTGGGACTACAAAATCGTGGCATAAGATGGGTAAAATCGTACAGTCTGCAAAGGCCTTAAGGCTAGAGTTTGTAGTGGGTTTGACAGTGTGAGGAAACAACTTGTGCAATTACCTCTTGTGGCCACAGGAGAGAGTGCTGCGTTTAGAAATTCCCCCCATTCACTGAGTGAGTGGAATATACTGAGGGCTGTTGCGTTTGAAAGGCAGCCTAGGTGACACAGCATGTTGCTCTTTTGACTTGACGTAATGTAGGCTACTGGATATTGTTCCTCCATTTCAAATGTGTTTGGCAATTTCTCACTATGTAGATTCAGTCAATGACCATAGATAGCATAGCTGCACCTTAGATTATTGGACCTGTAACAAGAAGGATACTTGATTGAATATGACTGTTCATGTACCGTTTTCCTCAATGTAACTTCCGCCATGCTTTAAAAATTGTATGTGAGTGAAGGAATCTGAAGTGTATGAATGTGTTGTAGGGAAGGGATCCAATTGAAGTGTGGAATGAGGCTGTCTTGTTAAGCTCTCTGCTCTGTTACTTAGTCTTTCTCTAACTTCACTTTTATTTGTTCTATTTTTTCCTCTCTCCTCCCCAGAGTTTGTGCCTTTCTTCTGTTCTTTCATTTCTTTGGGGTGCTGAGGCCAACACAGCTGTATTTTTGTACATAAATCCTGCACTTTAAATACAATACAGTTGCTAACAAAACTAATCTTGTGCTTATTTTTTTCCGCATCACAATTCACTGCAAAGAGAGGGCTCCTTACCTTGGTACTGCTTCAGGCCTTCACACTGCTCAAACATTGTGGTGCTGCTTCTTTCTTTCATTCTGTCACCTCTTTCTCATCCGCATAACACGGTTTCCCTCTACTGAGCCACAGTGACGCTTTAACAGGTATGGCCAACTTTCTATATTTCTTTCCCTCGCTCTTCAAACCCCTCACCTGTATCATGTGCATGCGTGTCTGTGACAACCGTTTGAGCTCTCGAAAAACCTTCCTTTCGCAGGCTTGCATTCTATTATACAATGGCAACTTGTTTTCTTCTCTGTAAGTCTCTGCTAGTCTCGTACTTACACTGTAATGGTTTACTTTGTCCTTGCAGGAGATGAAACCTACCAAGACATTTTCCAGGACTTTTCCCAGATGGCTTCAAACGACCCGGAGAAGCTGAACCGCTACCAGCAGTACGACTCGCAACAGAGGCCATGAGGGAGGGAGGGAGGGAGGGAGACGCTCCAACTCAGGAGGACCCACTTGGAAGTGTGCGGATAGGTTAAATAATCACTTTGTATTGGTTGTAATGGTCTACAATTTTACCCCTTCGAGTAAAAAATACATTTCAATGTGGTGTTTTGTTGTTGATCCATAATAAGCACCTTTTGGAGTTTTGGTAGCATGTTTTCATAGCATTGATCTGTTGTATATTAAGCTGCAAACGAGATCCATTATGTCACAATGTTAAACATTAAGGTTAATGGTCAATGTGTGAGGAAAACAAGCCTTATGTTGTTTTGGAGTAATATTTCATATTCAATCTCATTTTGGGCACAAAATAATGTATTATTGACTGTTAAACAAAAAAATGGCATGTTTTGCCCTTCCTTATTTTTTAAAATATATATATATATATATTATTATTTTTACCCCTTTTTCGTGATATCCAATTGGTAGTTACAGTCTTGTCCCATCACTGCAACTCCAGTACGGATTCGGGAGAGGCGAAGGTCGAGTCATGCGTCCTCCGAAACACGATTCCGCACTGCATCTTCACACACTGCTCGCTTAACCCAGAAGCCAGCCGCACCAATGTGTCGGAGGAAACACTGTACAGCTGGCGACCGAAGTCAGAGTGCATGCGCCCGGCCCACCACAGGAGTCGCTAGAGCTCAATGGGACAAGGACATCCCGGTCCGGCAAAACCCTTCCCTAACCCGGACGACACTGGGCCAATTGTGTGCTGCCTCATGGGCCTCCCGGTTGCGGCCGGCTGCGACACAGCCCGGGATCGAACCCGGGTCTGTAGTGACACCTCTAGCACTGCAACGGGAGGCCCTGTGTTTGGCCCTTTCTGTATGTTCATGTTTGAGTTTAGGTCCACATATTGTAGTACCTGCTGTTGCTCACTATTATATTTCACTCAGTATTTTTGCCTCCTGCTCATTGGATAGCAAAAAACAACAACTTCTATAAACTGGACCTTGTTTATTAGTATAGCAGTATACATTGTGTACAAAACATTAGGAACACGTACTCTTTCCATGAGACTGACCAGATGAATCCAGGTGAAAGCTATGATACCTTATTGATGTCACATGTTAAATCCACTTCAATCAGTGTAGGAGACCGGTTAACCTTTTACTGCACTGGGCTAAATCAGGGTCACACAGAGTGATTCTTGGGAGTCTTAAACAAATCTACTTAGAAACAAAAGTATACACCTCACACACACCTGTACCATGTCAGATGGAGTTGAAATGTATTCAATTGAGTTTGCATCCCACTATTACACATTATATACACATCACAGAAGACTGAAATATAACAAAACTGTTTGAGATAGAAACACTGGATTTATAATTATGAAAAATATTAACATTCCACCCATGAGGCCAAAGAGGGCGCTTTTGGTAATTGACTGCAGGAAAGGGCTACATAAGGATTTCTAAGCCTTGAGATAATTGAGACATGGATTGTGTATGTGTGCCATTGAATGGGGTATGGTAGTAGGTGCCAGCCGCACCGGTTTGAGTGTGTCAAGAACTGCAACGCTGCTGGGTTTTTCACGCTCAAAAGTTTCCCTTGTGTATCAAGAATGGTCCACCAACCAAAAGACATCCAGCCAACTTGACACAACTGTGGGAAGCAATGGAGTCAACATGGGCATCCCTGTAGAATGCTTTCGACACCTTGTATAGTACATGCCCCGACGAATTGAGGCTGTTTTGAGGGAAAGGGGGGGGGTGCAACTCAATATTAGGAAGCATGTGCCTAGCAAGCATGTGCCTCCTGACTGTGGATACATACTACTGTGGTACTCTTTTGGGCATTGCATTGCATTTACAATACGAAGAGCTCTTCAGCCCCGTTATACCTGGTGCTAACATGCTTCCTGTGTCCGGATCTTCTCCACATTCTGATTATTCACACATTTTTATACCGGCCAAGACTATTAAAAATAACGGAGTGTGATCAGATCTTCCTGACTACCTCTGGAGGTAGTCTGGATGTAACGTTTCTTTGACTCTCACCTGTAAACTCCACCCACTGACTTGTCACTAAGCTCGGCCCACTGAGCTTTCATCCAACCAATCAATTCATCCCTGACTATGTCTGGAGGTGGTCAGGAAAATCTGTTCTTTTAATTGTCTATACCTGTCAAAAAATGTGGGCACTATCAGAATGTGGACAAGATCAGGACATGTTATCACAAGGTGTAAACAGGGCTATACTTAATACAACATGGGATATATATAGATATATATAAATAGATATATTTTGTACAGCTTTTGAATATGCCTAAGTTAAATATAAAGTAGTGGTACCTGAATAATTAAATAAGCTCTTGTAAATGCTGTTCATTTTCTTTGTAATTTTTTTTTTTTATATTTTCTCTCCCTATACAACTCTGATATGTATACTATCCATGTAATTAAGGACCATATTACATTTACTGCAAATAGTGGACTGGAAATGTATTGCTGAATGTTTAATTGTTTGTTTGCTTTGTCAGATCGATTTTATAAATACATTTTCTGTTGTGATTTTGTCTTAATGAATTTCAACAACAATTACAGCAATAATTAAGGGCTTTATTCTTATACACAAAATTGAGTTTGGCTTCCATATTAAATGTCCTGTCCTCATTTTATCCCTGATACATTGATGTTATCGAATCCTTCTGAGAAATGTCGCCCACTCTCTTCCAAGCAGAGTGCTTACCTCATGAAGGATTTATGTTCCTTCTCCATGGAAGGCGGGCGAATACAAACAATGCATGTGTCTCAGCCTCACCAGCCGTCCTTGCAATGTGCTCACAACAGTGATGTCACAGAGAAGCTATTCTTCCTTTCTCTATGGATCACCATATCGGCAAAATAGTGAACATGCAGGTAACTGCCAAAATAAAGGAAACAATTTAGTAAATTGGGGATACAAAGTATATTGAAAGCAGGTGCTCCCACACAAATGTGTTTCCTGAGTTAATTAATCAATTAACATCCCATCATACTTTGGGTCATGTATAAAAATGCCCAGTTGCTCATTATTGTTGGTTAGAATGGCTAGAAGAGCTATGTGACTTTGAAAGACGGGTTAAAAAGGAGCATAGGGGGTTTAATGTCAGTCACCAGATCTCAACCTAATTGAACGCCTACATGCTGACTAGACCCAGCACGCACGTGTGCATATTGATTTTGTCCATCCACACCAGACACGATCAGGACACGCAGGTTGAAATATCAAAACTAACTCTGTACCAACTATATTAATTTGGGGACAGGTCGAAACATGAAACATTCATGGCCAATTAGCTGTTGCTAATTTGTCCTGGGATATAAACATTGGGTTGTTATTTTACCTGAAATCCACAAGGTCTTTTGTAGAATT